CCCCCCCCCCCCCCCCCCCCCCCCCCCCCCCCCAAGCAGCAGCTTTGAAGCAGTGTCAGTTTGGAAAGGTGCTAACTTCAGCCAGGGCCCCACAAGCACCCACAGCCACTGCTGATGGACAACTTGCCCAAGCTAGCCCTCTTCATCTCCGCTCTCAGCTCCTAGCTGCTCCCATCCACCAGCCCCGCAGCTGTACAGGGACAGCCCTGGAGAGGTGACTTCTCCTCCCAGCCAGGAGACACAGCACTGGATCAAATGGATAATTTGGGAAAATGCTGTTCGGTACCAGCTTGTGGTTTTGCAGAGAGGGTAACGCAATTAGCTGCATCTTTTGAGTAGCCCACCGCAGTGCTTGCTCCACACTGTGCTCAGGAGCACACTGTGCAGCTCACCAGGATGGGATGCTGGAGCCACAACCACGCCAGCTGCAGAGCAGGTATCCCGACCCAGGGGATGGAGCACAGCGGCAGCAAGGCAAGCGGCTCTGGCTGAAAACGAGCTTCCACCCTTACAGTGGGAGCACGACTTTCCAGTGCTACTTCTGGGTCCCAGGACCAGATCTCACTCCTCCAACACGTGCTACCCACATAGCCATGCCAGCCTGGGGAAGGTTTGCCTGCTGAAGCCCACCTGCTGCCGGGCAGAGGAGCCAAGTAAATGCCACAGCAGCTCTGCAGCCATCCCCTTGGCTCAGCTGAGCAAGAAGCAGCGCGGTGTTATCTCAGCCCTTGGAGACGCGCAGGGACGCTGCCCTGAGCAGGAGGCTCCACGCAGCCGCCCGCTAAGACGTGACACATGAGGAAACCCAGGCGAGAGCCCTCCTTTGCCGGGCAGGTCTCCCGCTCACACCCACCAGCAGCCCCAGGCCAGCGACGGCTGCGAGACACGCGTTCCTCAGGGCTGCGTCACTCCCTCATCAGTCTACAGCATTAAGTGGCACCAGGGACACGCCAGCCCTCCCACTCACTCGCAGCAAGGACCAGTCCCTCCAGCTGCTGCGACAGATCTCCCTGCTCACCTCCTGACCACGCTGGAGGTGCAGAGGGGAGCAGACCACCCTCCCGCCCCAGCCTGCCCAGAGAGAGCGCAGGAGTCCGAGCGAGGCCATAAGCATGTACAGTCACCATCGCAGGGAGGATGCTACAACGGTATATACACAACGTAGCGGCTTCAACTACTTCGTGAGCACAAGTCTTGGATTTGACTGCCCTCGGCACCTTCCCCCATGACAACCAGGGCGGGCAGGAGAGCTGTGTGATGGGGGGAGGCATCCGAGCGAGCTGCGGGGTTAGAGGAAAGGCCGTGGGGAAGATCAGCTCGGCAGCAATGCCGCGAGGAGTCTCTGGGCCAGGGGGTGCCGAGAGCCCAGCGCGCCCCAGGGTGCAGGAAGCCAGCAAGCCTCCCCGGTCCAGCTCCACCATAAGGCAACACTTTTTTTTTTTTTTTTGTGTTTTGTTTTTTGTTTGTTTGTTTTTCTTCAATAATATTTCCAAGGAAGAAAGCAAAGGGAGATGTGTCTTTATAAAGGTTTTTTTTGTTGTTGTGGGGTTTTTTTTGTTGTTTTTTTTTTTCCTTTTTTTGTTGTCATTTCATTTTTCCAAGGGAAAAGGAAGAGAAAACCTCCTTCGGCAAAGTCCTGCCTTTGCATGCGATGGGCGTTCCTGGAGCAGCAGGTGCACCGTCCACGCAGGCTCGAGTCCAGGTGCCTGCTGGCCTCCCACCAGCTGTCCTCGCAGGAAGGAGTCAGAACGAGCCTATCCTTGGCAAAGGTCCTTTGGTTGACTTCCAAATTGTCCGTGATGGAAGGGAGAGGCAGGTGGAGGGCGAGCCAGACCCTCGGGAAGGTTGGAGGTGAAGACGCTGGGGAGAAGGGACCAGAAAGACAAACAGGGCAATGCTCCTGTCGCGGTGGTCGGTGTCGGAGAGGCACCGCCGCACGTGGAATGGGAGACGTCAGCCAGGTCATGGAGATCAGAGGCTCCGCAGCATTGCGACATGCTGCGGCTTCGGTCCCCCATCGGGGAACCTCGCTCCTCCGAGCTTCCTAAGCAGGCTGCCCTGCGATCCGAGGGGGGACACAGAGGGGAGTCGTTGGGGCCGCGCAGAGCAGACTTGTTTTGGTAAATCCAGACGAACTTCTAGCAATAATTTAAAACTTGATATATATATATAATAATAAAAAAATCTCCCCTTTCCAACCCAGCCAGAACTTTTTTTTTTTTTTTTGAAGAGACACTAAGACATGAGTGTGTGCACAGGAGGGGAGGGAAGGAAAAGCAAAGGGTGGGTCTGCCGGGAGCGGGTCTGGCTCTGGTCAGAGTTGTAATAGCAAAATGGTGTTTTAGATGCAGATCGTCTTTGCTTTCCAGCCACAAGAGAAAACATTGTGTGCGTTGAAGTTTCTCCCAAGCAGCTTATTCCTGGGCACCCACCTTCCAGCTCCCTTCCTGTCCCACCCCTCACGTCTCCCCTTCTCTGAGCCAGTCCCCCACCAACCCACCCCATCCCCTGGCAGGAAGCAGATGCTGCAGCCTCTCTACTTCCCCACTGTCTGCGATTCTGCAGCCGACGGGGCGGGGGATTGCTGGCTCAGGTTTTTGGCATCCTCTTGTGCAGGCTGGCTGGGCGAGGCGTGGGCTTGGCTGGATGGGCACTGGCTGACCGTTTTGCTGGAAGACTGGGATGGGTAGCGCTTTCTGCCATCTCCCCCTGATGTCGTAGGGTACCTCTTGTGTCCACCTTCCTCCCCCATGGGTGGCTGGAAGAGAAGCACCCCGGTATCAGCACAGTGTCCTCCAAATGCAGATGCCCTCCCCGTGGATCAAAGAACAGCCCTCCTGCAATCCTCCAGTTGCAACTTTTCTCCCTGACCCACAAGGAACACGCATACTCACCCCAAGCACACAGCTGCCCTCCTCTCCAAATCTACCGCTGCCAGATTTGCTGACAGAAAGACAGACTGACTTCCAATCAAGCACAAGGGTGACAACTTGCTCTTAGGCACCTCCTTCCCACACAGGGGCACAGTCCAGAAGTCTGGGAGCTGAAGCTCCCCACAATGCTGGCTCCACTCAAGCCATCAAGACTCATTTTTCTCCTCTCTCCTCAGCTCATTGAGGAAGATGGGCTCATCCAGAATCCCCAGAGAGCCACTCTGAAGTGGATTTGCAATATTCAAACCTTGCAGCTTGCTCCTGGCCCGGCTGCAATGATAGGGCAATGACACTAGGTGTCACTGACTTCCCCTGCCTGGCACGGCTTGGGGACCAGCCCCCCAAAATCCTCCTTGGAGGGGGCTGCGGGGTGTTTTTGCAGGGGCCATCAGTGTGGTGCAGGTATTGTGTCTACTCACATCCACTCGGAAGTCCTCGAGGCGCTTGAACTTGCTGAGGTATTCTTGCAGTTTGCTGTTAATGTCCAGATTTTTGGCTTTGGAATATTTTAAGAAGGCCCAGAACTTTTCCAGCCCATAGAGCTGTCCTGGAGAGGGAGAAATCCAAACCAGAAGTCAGAAAAAAAAAAAAAAAACCCAAAAAAACAAAAAACAAAAACCCAAACAACCAGATGTCAGAACCCTTTCCTCCAGGCTTCCCCACCGCTCACCCCCCAGACCCTCCTGTCCCACTGGTGGCCACAACCAAGGCAAGAAGGAGAACCTGGAGGGAAGCAACCTACATCAATAGTGGGTAGCATTCTTGACAAGGGATGTCTCCAGGCTCGGCTGACCTGGTGGTGACAAGGCTCAGCTACTGCAGGGCCTTGAGAAGTCCTAGAGGAATCAGTGCCTCTAGGGAAATGTTTTGGGAGAGCTACAGCCTCCCGTTATGTCCCCCCCACACCTCGCCAGCAGTCTTCAGGCTGGTAAGCGTCTGCCCAACCCTCTCCCGTGAAGTGAGCAACAGGACATCCAGCTGGTCCCCATTGCACACATTAATGTACAGCATTATGTGGCTTCCCCAAGTCATGAGAAGATGCCCAGGGGCAGCCATGCAGCTGGGCTACACCACTGCCAACCCCAGAGGAGGCCAAATGAGGCACCTACCAGCTTCGTAATCCTTGATGGTCTCTTCCTGAAAGTCTTTAAATATGTCTGGCCGGAATTTCTTTTCCAGCCCATAGCTGTAGTATCTGAAAAGGCACTCCAGACCGTACCTGGGAAGAGAGCAGCATGTGGTGCTCAGACAGCAGTGCACACCACACCCAGGGAGAGAGGCTCTCGAGGCAAGAGCCCCGCCGTGCAGCAGCAGCCAGAGGTGACTGAGGGTGGCCCCAGTCCCACCTTCAACCAAGGCAGAGACGCTGCCTTTGTTTTGCCACGCGTGCCGCAAAAGGCTGAACCCTTCTTCCCTCACTCCCCTCCCAGGAAAGGCCACTCTGCCCCCTCCTCTCCTACCTGTATCCCTCCTTCCCATCCTCCACAGCCAGTTGCTTGAATTCCTCATACATTTTCTTGTTGAAGTGATCTC